ACATAATATACAATAGTATTAAATTTATAACTAATATAATAATATAAGTAAAAACATCTTAGAATTAATTAACCCATAATTCTTTTATGCATTCAGATAGAAAAATTACATGAAAATTAGACATATCATTTCCAAGTCATATATTACAAATATGTGCCAATAAAAATTTTATATATATTTATTAGTATTTAATAACTCTATGAATACTACATATAATTTTTATTGATAAAAATAATGTAATTATGCATAGGTGTGGATACAATTTATTAAGAAAACTATATTTAATATAAAACATGAAGTCATATAAAATATATTTTATATATACTCTTGTTAACATATATAATGAATATGTTCGACAAAATAATTTATTAGCACTAAAGGAAAATAGTTCATGAATTATATTTTTTTAGCTTGCCAGTGTCATATAATATTTTTGAATAAATATAATTTTTGTAGGCAATAAATAGATGAATACTATAACTCAATAATAAAAAATCAATTACATTGAATAAATCATTATATGAAATTAAGGAATTTTAAATTATATTAATAATATTTATTATATTTACTCTTTTTTATTAATGAATACATTTTTATATAATTCTTACATTACAAAAAATAATTTAACAATGATATATACACTTTCACTTCTTTATGTACAAATTATTATTTATTATCTAATATATAGAAATAATTTTAAATAGTCCAATTAAAAAAATATAACTTTAAGTGCTATGCTATTTTTATAATTGAACGCTTTGTAGCACAAATAATGATTAACACTTATTATATTAGAAAGAAACACATAAACGTTCACAGAAAAGGAAAAGATGACAAAAAAATTTTAAGATATAGAATTTTATATAAGGTATAAGTTTTTGAATATTTAAATTATATAAATATAAGTATATATATTGACATAGGTATATTTATTTAAATATGTCTCTTTGCTCCATACATTATAGTAAATTAAAGGTAAATTATAGGACGATAAATTAACTACTATACGCAAACTACGGCAACCTTTCGTTTTCATGTAATATAGAAGGAATTGGTTATGTATATATTAAATGATATTTAATATATCATAATAAGGAAAAAATACATTAAATAAATGAGTATTTAATTATATAAGTACATTTTAGCGCTCTCCGAAGCATCAGTCAAAGTATAATAAAAATAAAGATATCTTTATGAAGAATTAAATTATGATTCAAGTTGTCATAATTTTACTATAAAGAGAAAAAAAAATAGTTATGCTTTTTAACGTGTATGATCAAATTATAAATAAATTTTATTTATCTTTTCAAATAATATATAACATGAGGTTAAGTTAATATATATAATCATATGACAGCATATTAAAAAATAATTTTATAAACACACATGCTCACTAAACACATAATAATATATTAAGCATAAGTTTATTGTACGTTTAAATATTATTATAGTGGAATTTATTTAATATAAAAATTCGAATTATAAATAATGTTTATGGAATTTTCATATATTTAATGTTTTATTATTTATTTCGTATAATATTATAATAATTTAATACAGTAATAGCGCTGTAGTCTATAAGCTGCTAAATATATGGTATCGCACAATTTATTTTTAATTTAAGATTATTATACAATAATGTACATTTTATGAATTATTAGTTAATCAAATATTACTCAAATTATTAATCAATAAATTATTTTAAATTATATAAAGGCGCTATTTGAAATTATTGGAATAAATTTATGTAGTAATAAAAATATGTTAGATATATTATATTGGACAAATAAAAAAGAATAATCGTTAGATATGCACTATTACTATAAACACGTTTGTATTAACACATATAATATTTGAGCATTCATTTATTACGTGCCTTAAAATTGATTATTTAAAAAAGTACTTGCGTTAAGAATTTATATAACAAAAAAATATGTTTCACAATAAATCATACTAATTAATATGAAATGTATACAATTTTCTTGTTGACATAATATTTTTAAATAAAAAAAGATTTAATCTCAATTTTTATAAAATTTAATAAATAATGTATAATATATGTCATTAAGTAGTGAATTTATATTTATGTACATTATCAGTAGTAAAAATGTACAACTTATTTATAAAATGAATTATATTAAGGGAAGCGTTTTATTATATTTTTTAATAAAATGTTTATAGCTTCACCCTGTGTTCACAAAATAATTGTTAAACATAATACTAAAATATAATTTTCTGGGAAAGTTGTTTATTCTTTCTATAATAAACTCATGCTATTATGAATTTGTTAAAATTTCAATGATCTCAAAAATTTAAATTAATTTTATTAAAATAAATTTTGAATTAGACATATGAAGTCGATATTTTGATATATAAGAGGAAATTTCTATTATTCATTATAAATAATTTTATGCCGCATAATATAACGTTTTTTCACAAGATTTATATAAAAAAATGTAGTCTAATATTAGTATTCAATAAATTGCATTAAAAAAATACCAATATATAAAATATACGCATATATATATAATAATAGTGAAATGAAGAAAAAACTATATATAAAAAAGCTAGAATAAATGTCTCATATAAAAAACAATCCCCTTTTAATTTTTCACCATAAATAATTTAACATATACTTCTATTTTATGCAGTTTTAAATGTATTCCCTATAGATAACATTCATTCATATATTTGCATATGGAATTTAGATTCATGTAGTCATAAAAGTTAAGAAAACATCTGCTTTTTTGTATCCCTAATTAGAAATATTCTTTTTTACCTTAGGAATAATGTTAAGAAATCCATAAGAAAATAATAATTATTCATTTCTTTTTCTCTTATTTATTCCCTAAGGTGTAAAGAAATTGTATAATTAACAATTGATAATTATGAAATTTAGTGATTTCATTTTTCGAAATTGCTTGTAATATAATATAGATTTTTATAGTAATAAATGTTATCAATACATTATATATTCTATATGTGTTTTATTAGTCTAATAAGAAACCATGGAACCTGTAATACTTGTCTATTATAGACATCGATTGCTGAATAATATATAAAAAAATATGTTATATTTTCTGATGAATATTTATTTTTCATAATATACATAATATACATTAAAAAGAATAACATACATCTCCATTATGTACTAAATTTTTTTGACTTAATTTTTAATTTCGCATATGCTTCAGATAATTTGTTCTTATTAAATATAAAGAAAATTTTTGTAAATCTGAACTTATATATATATTCTTCTTATATAATAGAGCTGTATTATTCATTTAAATGGAAATTTTACAAATATTTTGGTATATAAATAACTTCATTTACATTTATTCACTAGTATTTTTCATCGTTTGTGTGCAACTTCTTATATTTTATTTTGTAATTTATTATTAATTTGCGCCATAAATTTTATCTGTGCAGTGGAATACATGCTTTTTGGTATTCAATCATATTTTTCAATAATTATCTTTTAAAATATTATTCATGAATACCCTTTTTATACATTGTTTCGTTTTGTTTATATAGCACTGACGTCATAACTAATGGATATATTTATAGGAGATATGCTATTATTAATATATATAATGATAATATTTTATTATTATTTTGGTAACACAAATTATGTAATATCTCATGACATAAATTTTGTAGTTATATATTACTTTATACAATAAATTGTCTAATGGTATACCCGCAAACGAAATAGATGTATATATAACACAAGAATAGATATTTCATATATTTTTGGAATAAAAAATTTAAAATAAGTTATGGATAGTTAAGATTCATGGTCCTCTTAATATGTTCCTTGTTGTAAGGATATGAAAGAAATACTACCCTATTATATCACCCATATGACCTTTATTATATATGTACGCAGATACTATATTAATAATAGGAAGAATACTTTATTATTTAATCAATATTGGAATTATTATGAAATATATAATCTTTGTGTCCTCGTGCACTATAAAACAGATTGTGCTGTTCTTAATCCCTAAATACTACGCAACAAATATTTTCAAGAAATTTATTTTTATATTGATATACTTTCGTGTTATTAATCATGTTATAAAATACTCATAAAATGATGAATAATATTATATTTATGTGCATAATTATTTTAATAACATAAAAATATGTTAAAAGACATGATAGGTATGTTCGTTTAATAATTTGTATGTACTTTACACAATAATAAGTTTATATTTTATACAATTAATTAATTGTACATTAATATTTCCTTCTATAGAAGCATCTATTGTGTTATTTAAATATATGAAGTAAACATGAGTACATATATTTTCATAATAGATATAACTCTCTAAGCATCATGATAGTATCCTTATATAATTTTCGTGAATTTTTAATTCGTCGTATGTGTGTATTTTTAATAAAATCCCCAAATATACCAACTTTATTAGTATTTATTATCTTATTGTTACATTCTTTGAAGTATGATCAAATTTACATTTAACTAAAGTAAAGCAAAATAAAATATAAGGATATATATAGTCTGCACTTTTAATTTATTCATAATTATGTAAGAAGGAAAAATAAATACATTGTAGTAAAATGTAATTGAAAACCTGTATACAGAAAAAAGGTAAAATTTGAATTCTTAGAAGTTAAAATCATATTATAAGCATAATGATTAGACAAAAAAAATTAACATATTATATATTTTTACATATAATATATTGAAAAACTAATATTATTTAATATACTATTTTATTAATATTATAATTTAAGAATATTAATTAAAAAAAATTAGTTTTTTTTTATATTTTGTGATATAATATTTTAATATAGAAATAATTTATATAAATA